AAAAAAGAGAAAAAGGTATTTGTGTCTCTTGTGTGGTTATTTCGTGCAGCCCAATTAGCCCAGTTTAACTGGAGTGACCCCTGAGCCTTTTAGTCCAGAGAACAGAAACCCAGCACTCTTGTAAATCAGGGATTTTAATAAATTTTAGTATTCATGTTATAATGCTTTTTGTGCCTTTGTCTCAATGGATCATGGCCATATTCTGAGTAGAAAGAAATGCAAACAACTTTAATTTACCTGAGATTCCTATTGACTGAACCTGGAAGAAGCTATATTCTCACTGTGGAATAAACCTGAGTACAAGTATATGAAAAAAGTGTTTTCTAGATTTTGGAAAAAGCAAGGCCATTGGAATGTGGAGCTTCTGAACTGTGTGATACCCAGAAGAACATTTTTTTTTCACTGATAAGTAGGATTTGTATGTATTCATAACTTGGGGGAATTATTAGTAAATTCGTATTAAAGTGATTTTTAAAGAAGAGAAGCCACTTATAAGACAGTACAATCTCCAAGAGTCCACTGTGTTTGATGTTGAACCCAACAGCAGGCATGGCTAAGTATCTGCATGCTGTCACTTAGTGCTTTCTGTAAGTCACAAACTCAATGATGGTTCTCTTCTTTTTGTTTTCCCTACAGCAAAATGATGAGAACAACTTGTTGCATATGGAAGCATTTCTACTCTGTGAGTTATTCTGAGGGGAAAAAAATGTGATTTGCAAATTCTGTCAAATGAAACAGGCATTTCCAAATGCTACTACTATGTTCAAACACATCTTGTATGTCAGAGTGTACTGCAGATGTTACAAAAAAAAAAAAAAAATCCTCCATGGCAGCAAATGAGAAGGATGAAAAAGTGCAAGAAGCTAGTCTTGCAGTCATTGTTCCAGACAGGAAAACCTTCCTCTGCTGCTGCTTCTGTATCATCAGCTTCATCACAAAGACTTGCTCAATTATCCTCAAATAGCCACATGTTGCAAGCAGCTGTCTACCAAGAAAACTGGACTGCAATGGCAACATTTGTAGACAACATGATACCTGAAGATCAGGACAAAATAATAAATAACTTTATGCAAGCACCTCCTCTCCCTTGGACTTGTCTTTATCAAGGCTGGCAGGGAGCACTTCCATACTGTGCCAGGAAAGCTGAGGTTCCCACCAGGAGTTTTGAATGGGTCTCTGAGCATTTGAACATGGATGGGTGGTGATGTGGATAAAAGAAGAATGAAGACAACACTACTATAAGTGTCAGATTTATGGTTAGGCAGACATGTCATAAGGAGCAGAATTACACAATTTTGTAAGAATGGATCTCTAACTCAGTTTTTAATAGAAGAACACAATAAGACAGGGAAAATCCATTACAGGG